TCTAAATAGTCAGAGCTATCTGTTTATTTTGCAGCAGAAGAGATATTTTTAAAATATTAAATATTCTTTGTAACTTTCTAAAAATAACTGATAATTACACTTCATGGGCACTCCTTACTTTTAAAAGATTTGCATATAAAATTTAGATTAAACAAAAGAGAAGTGGAAAAAGGACTGATTATTTTCTACTAAAATACAAAAGGAGTCTTCACTTCTCTCTGGTGGCTTTCCAGTAGTAACTTATGCTGAAGAAGTGGCGCAATGGATATCGTACACTTAAGCAAGTGTACGTGATCAGACAAGGGGGCTGGCTGGTCATGCAATGAGAATGAAGGACAGCAGATGGACAACCAAAGTGCTCCATAAAACATAAAAAAGACTTAGAAGAAGGACTCTAGTACACTGGGTGGATCTTCTGGGGATAAACTTTGAGAAAAACTTTGAGAAAACAGGGACAAAAGTAACACAGAAAGCAGGATGGTTTGTGGTTTTCAGATTTGCAACAATGGAAGAAAATATATTTAATGAGATCTCAGATTCACTGAAATACTGAAATACACGTTAATCTTTTTAGGTTATAAAAGTCTGTAGTGTATGCTAGGTATACCAGCACCTTACCCTGGCTCTCAGTAGTCAAAGGAAATAGTATTTCCTTTGGGCTCAGGGCTCAGGGGATCACCCGTTAAGCAGCTAGTTGAACAACAGTTGATATACTTTATCTTCTAGTTCACTTGTGTAAAAATGTGTCGTTCACCAAGTAAATTATATTTGGTTCAATTATGATGACGGATATATAGAACATTAGGACTCTCACAATCAAATTCTCTCTCTCTCTCATCTATTTAGACGTATATGTATATAAACATATATACACACATATATGTATATATACATATATACTTACATACACATAACTACACATATGCATGCATAACTGAGGAATAAAGATTCCTCAATGGGAGTTCTATATACCATTTGAAGCATATGTCTAGTTAAAAAAAAACAAAACCAAAACACTCTCATCCTAATGTCTTCAATATTTATATTTTTTTTTGGGAGGGGTAATCCCTAGCACCAAGTACAGGACCTTGCATAAGGTAGGTTTGCTGAACTGAACTGCATTGAACCAAATCAATTCAGTCAAACAACGGGTCAATAACATAAAAGAAATTACAGTAGGCTTTAAAAGTTGCCAAATTTTCACTTCTTAACTGATTGTTACTACATCATCAAAGCCCTATGATTTTATCAGTGTAGGAAATTTCTCCACTCACTGGGACAGTTTCCAAACCTTTTATAAACGCTCCCTCTAAGACATCTTCTGCCCCATGCAGGGAAGGCAACACCATCCTCCTAGTTCCTCAGAGAAGAAAAGGGGATGTATTGGAGAGATGTTGCTAAGGTGAAATTGATAGACCTTGGTAACAGATAGGATATAGAGTGAAGAATTCTCCTCTGACCCTGCTACCAGCCTAGTACAGGCCCTCATCACCTTACTCCTGGATTATTACAATAGCCTGCTGGTGGGTCTGCCTGCCTCAGGTTTTTCCTCACTCCTCCATTAGCCATTAAAGTGATTTTCCTAAAGTACAGGTTCAACTATGTCCTCCTCCTACTCAACAAATCCCAGAGGTTCCTTATGGTCTTCAGGATCAAATACAAATTCTCTTTGGTGTTCAAAGCCCTTCATAATTGCTCCCACCCTCAATACTTTTCTGGTTTTCTTATACTTTTTACACTCCCGAGTAAAATTCCATTCAGTCCCACTAGCTTCCAAACTCCCAGTATTCTCTTTGGCTGTCCCCCATTCCTGGAATGCTCTCCTTCCTCATCTCTACCTAACAACTTCCTGGCTTCCTCTAATTTCCAATGAAAAGTCCATCTTTTACAGAAAGCCTTTCCCAAGCCTTCTTAATTCTAGTGCCTTCCCTCAGTTAACCTTTTCCTAATTATTCTGTATACAGTTTGTTTGTAGCATTTGTTTCCTTGTTTTCTCCCCTGTTAGTTTGTGAGTTCCTCCTGGGCAGGGACTGTCACACTTCCATCTGTATGCTCAATGCTCAAAGATGCCTGATACATAGGTGTTTAATGAATGTTTATTGAGTCAACTGACTATAACTTTTTTTTAAAACTGAATTTTATAGAGTTGCTGGAGGCTCAGAAAGGTTGAGTGGCTTGCCTTTGATCAGAGAGTGAGTAGGTGTCGCAAGGCTTTAAGTCTCTTCCGCAGATCTGCCTCATTGTTTACTTGTTTCCCCTAGAAGCCTTCCTAAACTAACCCTCCACTGCACTATCCATCCTCTCACTTTGATACTAACCTTAACCCACAGCATTTCATCACTCCATGTCCCCTTAGCTCCTTAGATATTAGTTCTTTTTATCACATGTGCCGCGCGCGCGCGTGTGTGTGTGTCTGTGTGTGTGTGTGTGTGTAGGGGCTGTCTTCTCAAGTAAATGTAAGCTCCAGTCCAAGATGTGTCTTCTACTTTCATATGCCCCATTGTGCTTAGGACCATCGGCCTAGTAGCAGCTTACTGAATTCTTACTGAATAAGTGAATCTTACGAACATTTTGTGAATTATAATTTACTGACACTCAGTGAGTTCAAACAAGCAACACAGATTTTTGTTATTTTTTAAAATATCTACTTTTGTGTTCATAGTTATTTTAGAAAGCCTCTGTAAAGAGACTACAGGACCACAGATTTAGAATTAAAAAGGACCTCAGAAGTCATTAAATCCAAACCCCTCATTTTATAAAGGCCTAGGAGGTTACATGGCTTGTTCAGGTTTGCACAGCTAGAGACTAAAGCAGGATTCAAATTTAGGTCTTCCTGACTTTGTGCTGGACTGGGTTCATTTCCTAAGTTCAATGCTCAGCTATGTTGCTTCTCTAATTCTGTAAACAACCCAAAGATGGATCTTTTACTTTACACATTTATTACATATTATAATTATGAATTTGCCTTCAATTAGCAATAATTTATTAAGCACCTAGTATGTGCCAGGTGCTATGCTAGGTGATATGGATACAGACAATAATGAAATAGTTCTTCCTCTTAAGGAGTTTACATTTTATCAAGCAAGACAACATGTACAGAACAGAGATCAAACAAAATAAATACAAGGTAGTAAAGAAGGGAGGTCACTGGTAGTTGGGGGAGAGATCAGGAGAGGTATTGTGTAAAAGATACTGTCTGAGTTGTCTCGACATAAATTAGGAATTCTGCACAGCAGACATAAGGAGGGAGTGCTTTTCAGGAATGGGGGAAGAGCCGGGACAAAGGCATGGAAATGGGAGATAGAGTGCCATGTGTGAGAAACAGAGCAGGGACCAGTTTGCCTGGAGCCACAGGGAACAGGAAAGACAGTAATACATAATGAATCTGGAAAGATAGGTTGGGGCCAAGTTGTGAGGGCTTTAATAGCCAAACAAAGGGAATTTATAGTTTGTCCTAGTAGTAACAGAAAGTCTCAGGAGTTTCTTGAGTAGAGGAGTGATATAGTCAGATCTTAAGGAAAATCACTTTGGCAATTGTGTGGAGGCTAGGTGAAATGGGGAGAGACTTGAGGCAGGAAGACCAAAGAGGAGGCTATTGCTGATTGTGAGTCTATGGAGTAATTTTTTTGAGGCTTTTATGGAAGACGTATTCTAGATTTTTTTTGGGGCGGGGGGCTAGGCAATGGGGTTAAGTGACTTGCCCAGGGTCACACAGGTAGTAAGTATCAAGTGTCTGAGGCCGGATTTGAACTCAGGTCCTTCTGAATCCAGGGCCCGTGCTCTATCCACTGCACCACCTAGCTGCCCCCATATTCTAGATTTTGCTAAGAATATTACCGCCCTTCAATTTCCCAGCCACTAGGAGCTGCAGAAGTCTGCTTTTGGGTAATTGAGTGAGCAGCCTAAATATTTGAGAATTTGCTAGAACTAGACACAAAGGAAAGATATAAATTATAGACAGAATACTTATAACTTATAAATAAAAGTTGTATCATTTCCCTACAAAGTAACAGCATCAAATGTAATACTGAGAATTAATGAGTGAAATTAGCTAGAAATAATTGAATAGCAAATAACTGAACAAATCATTAAAACTACCCTCTAATATACAGCCTCTTCTGTTTTGAACCAATTTCTTAAGGACATGTTTCTTTTAAAATCCTAGCTTTGTCAGCCACTGTCATTCAGTTTCTTACTTCCTGTCATGAACTCTCCCTGTCACCTCCTGACAAGGCTCTGACAGCTTCCAGAGTGTCAGTTTTGCCCCTAACACTCTGATTTCTTTTCAACTTAGTTAAGGTTACATTAACTTAATGAGGCCAGAAATATTCTCTTTTTGTTACAATCGGCCCTTAGCCCAGAGTTGTCCTACCGTCTGATATTGTTGTAGTTTTCCTTCCAGATACTTCCAAATCATCACCTTTCTCAGTACCAGTCAGAATGCCCCTTACTCTGCTACAAAATGTTATTGCTTTATAAAGGCCAGAACTCTTTAAGGGCCTCATACCTTTTTATACTACATAGCTCATGTATGTACTAGAATATATTACGCATAATACAAACAGCACTCAGTTTTCAGTTATAACGATTTTGAGGTGGGGAGGAGGTGATATCACAAAATATCCAAAGTCCCTATTTGATTACTGGTGAAAAACAAACTGCCTACTAGACTGTAAGTATCCAGCAAATGCTTCTCGTGTAGAAAATGCTTAATGTTTGTTGAATTGAATTGAAATGGCACGAGAGCAATTAATTGAGTAGTGCTGGCTACTTCAATATTAGAAGTACCAATGACTACTAAAAGAGAGGGCATTTATGGCAGATTATAATGAATAATGAAGCCCCAACATAGGAGCCAATTCATAACAAAAAATCTAACAGAACCATATATAGCTAAATTATTACTACAAAGGGGGTATGATAACTATTTACAATAATAATCCTTACTGCTCATATGTTACTTTTCATCCTCAAAACACTAATTAAGCTTTTTCTTACAGGATTTTCAGTGATTACCCAGACTGACACAGCTTGAAACCTTCAATAGAAGCCCAAGGTAATCACTTAGGGAAAAATCACTGATTTCTACTGGGATTACACTCGGTTCTGGGAGTATAAATATCTATGTTACATAGGTTATTCATGTCCTAATGGGAATTCATTATACTCTGGAAGGGGTCAGGTATAGCAGGTTAAGTGAGTTGGTCAATCCCTTCCCCTCTCCCCCCCACCTGCCAACTTTGCATCATTTAAGAGCATTTGAATACTATGAAAGACACCACAGCTCATAAATCAATTCTTTGGGTACAAAAGTTCCTTTTTCCATTAAGAATTTTGAAAACGAGGATCAAAAATCTTTGATTCAGATTTTGCATGCACCTGGGGCAGTAAGCTGCTTAAAATATCCATTGCATTCATAGAACAACATGGTAGGTGATAGGGATGTGGAGGTGGTTATATCTCCTATCAGAGCAAATTTAAGACTTTATATAGTCTGGTAAGCACTTTTAAAAAATCGACCTACAAGGTTAATATGAAGGAATGTGATTTTAAAATTATCTAAGTAGGATTAATGAAGCTAACAGAGTGATGGTGACTGTGGTGGTGGTGGGGGAATATTCCTTCAGGTGACTGGATTTTACTGCTTTTAACTATGTGGTGCTGCTGCAAGTCAGTGCGGAGCAGAAGAGGACCCAGATTCATATCCTACTTTTGTCATTTACTAGATATGTGACCTGGAGCAAGCCACTTAACTTTTCTACATCTGTTCATGTGTCTGTTAAATGACGGGGCTAGACCAGGCACACTCAAAGGCTCCTTCCAGGTTTGTATCTATGCTCTTATGATCCAAAGAGTCATCATTAATAGGCCAGTATCAAGTCAGATGCAAGTTTCCAGCAGAGTAACTGACAAACCACTCATTTATTGGAGAGTTGGAAAGTCTCCCAAGAAGAAGCTGGGAGTGGTGAAAGATGACCATTTAGATAAATTCAGACAAAGGTCTCAGAGGAGTAATAAATAATTATATAACTTCCTTACAAGAAGAACTACAGGGCTATATTTGTTTGAATAAGACAAGCCCTAATACTGATATGTATCACCATACAGTGAAAAGTGTAATTTCATATCAGTTAAGGATAGGTTATTAAGGAAAATGGAAAAATGACCACCATATTCTCTGTGCCAATTTAGACCTTTAAGACATTATTTTAGTGCAATTTGCTTATCTTCCACAGTCTCTCAGCCCTCAAACCTTTACTCCAGTTGTCCCTACTCAGCTTATCTCTATCCTGCCATGCCATAGGCCACACTTTCTATTCCACAGGCCCCAGTCATGGAGTCAGTTCCTGTATAGATCAGTTAGCTTTGCAATGAGAAAATCTCTATTTCAGTGCTATAATATACACACCTAATCCAGCTAATCTCATAAAAGCATACTGTTCATAAAGACGGAAACTAGGTTTGAGAATGTAAACAGCTCAGCACATATTACCAATACTGCAAACCATGTCTTACAAATATCAATAGCATAATATAGTGTATGTAAAAGTCAACTCCCCAAATATCCAGTTTACCTTCTTTAGATTCTGTTATCCCTGAATCCTTTATTTTCCCCATTTTGATCACAGGATTTATATCTGGAAGGGGCCTTAAGAGTAAGTATACTCTCCTCAATTTACAGATAAGGAAACTTGAAGCCAAAACAGGTGATGAAACTTCCCTGGGGTAGTACATAGATATTAAGTAGCAGAACTAAAAGTCAAACCCAGGTCTCTGAAGCCAAGTCCAGTGCTCATGCCACTGCAACACTGCCTCTTTCAAAAAGTTCCCAGCTTTCTGAGCCAAGCAAATGACCTAATTACTGTAGGATGCAAATTCCTCTTCATGGGTACCTATACTCTTTAAGTTGCCTGTAGAACACAACAGTTAGCATAGTACTTCACACATGCAAGGGGATACTTAAAATGCTTTTTGATGATGATGACTGATAACACAGGGACATGAAGTTTTGGGTTTTTTAAAAAGTCATTTCAGTTGTGCCCAGCTCTGTGACCCCATTTGGGGTTTTCCTGGCAAAGATACTGGATTCGTTTGCCATTTCCTTCTCCAGCACATTTTACAGATGAGGAAACTGAGGCAAATAGGGTTAGGTGACTTGTCCGGGGTCCCACAGCTAATAAGTGTCTGAGGACAGATTTGAAAGTAGGAAGATCACCGTGCCACTTAGCTGCCTCTTTTTTTGGCTGACAGTCTTGTCAAGTTTTATTGTATGAGCCAAGTAGATGGGTGCTATGTACAGAGAAGAAAAGGGAGAATCATTCTTGGTCTTCTCCTCCTTGCACAAAGTCTTGATAATCTACTCTTTCTTAGCCTATAGATGCTCTTCCCACCGCTTTTGAACTTTCTTAGTCTTGGACCATTGAGCTTCAGCTTGGTCGGCCAGGAGCTTCTTTGGGCTTTGTCTGCTTTCAGTTTATGAATGTGCTCCATGAGTATCCACTTTTTTTTTAAACACATTTCCCTTCACCTTCAAGTATAGGCTGTGGTACATATGGTAGTCAATGTCTTTGGATTCACAATATCTTCGGACTAGATGGTGCAGAATCCTCATTCTCCTTATCCAGGTCATTTTTTTCTTTCTTTTCCTCCCCATTATTTTGACACACAAAGTTACCAATAACCTCACAGATTAATATCACAATCCTAAGAAATATGTTTATTTTTTCCCTTAGACATTATATCTGTCCCAGGCACTGATTCAATTAAATTAACCAACTAACATCTTAATTGTTGTGTGAAGGCAGCATCTCCATTTTATCTTGAATCTAGTAAGATGAGCCTGCTCTAATCTGGGCAAGAATTTTTGACAAGGTATAAATGAAAGCCTAACAGAGGGAAGTCACGAGGTTAATGCTTCTAACTCTGGGTGATCAGTCAAAAGGTCTCTCTTGAACATAAGGTTTGTGTGTGACTGTTCCAAAGCAATTTTTGTAGTATAATAGTATTGTAAAAAGACAGTACAATAAGCTTGTTATAAACCTTAACACAGAGGGTAATATTTGGTCTTTAACGCAATTTAGAATTCTCACTGGTATCAATGAGCATTCAGAAAGATGAAAAGTGGTGCCTCACAACCCTCAGTGAAAAAACTAAATGGTAAAACCTTTATTGCATATACTTAAAAGGAAAATATAGATGAAAGTTTAGCATGATAAAACCTGAACACATTGTACTATATTTTGTAAACTAATTATAAAACAAAGTTGGTTGGAATTGTGAATTTTTAACTTAAATTTTATATATTTACATACCCTACAGTATATCACTTAAATTTACTCTAATTCTCCAAACCTAGTTACAATTGCATTATAAACAGCCAAACCAAACACAGAAGTTCTAGTAAGTTAGAAAAATTAGTCACTGACAACTTCAGTTTCTGCTATAGTGAACCATGCATAGGATAAAATTGTTGTTGGAAAAAAAATAAAGTTTCATCAAAGTCTTCAATGTGCGTGAAAATTTGTGTCACTTTAATGAGCTACTATTTATTTGATCCTTACTAAATTATATAGAAAGGTCAAATAAAATTATTAGGTATGAAACTTAATTGTCCTGTGTTATATACATTAAAAGTTAGATTGGGCTAATCATAAAGTAAATGGCATTTTTTAAACTGAAGCTATTTTATACTTAAGGCAAAAAAATTTTAAAAATTTAGATACTTCTTTTATTTTTTTTATTTTCACATTAGTCATGTTGTAAGGAAGAATTGGAACCAATAGAAGGAACCACAAGAAAGAGGAAACAAAACAAAGCAGAAGGGAAAAAAAAGAGCAAATAGTATGCTTTGATCTGCTTTCAAATGCCATAGTTCTTTCTTTGGATGTAGATAGCATTTTCCATCATGAGACTTTTGGAGATGTCCTAGATTCTTGCATTGCTGAGAAGGGCTAAGTCTATCAAAGTTAGTCACTGCATAATGTGGCTGATGCTACATACAACGTTCTCCTGGTTCTGCTCACCTCACTCAGCATCAGTCCATACACGTCTTTCCAGGTTTTTCTGAAGTCCACCTGCTCATTATTCCTTATAGAACAACAGTATTCCATTACATTCTCATACTACAACTTGTTCAGCCATTCCCCAACTGATGGGCATCCCTTCATTTTCTAATTCTTTGCCACCACAGAAAGAGCTGCTATACATATTTTTGTACTAAATACTCCCTTTCAAATTTGTATAACCAAAACAAACACTGTATTAATATTCCCATGTACTGCCAACTTTTGCTCCCAGATCCTTTCTTCTTCAAGAGATCTCTCATGAAAACTTTTAAGCAAAACAGTGAGGTTTTAAGTAAGCAAGATTACTTAAGTTTAAAATCCTAGAAATATTGACAGATGCTTTATTACAGTGTCACATATGGTGACAAGTATATACAATTTAAATGGAGGTATTTTTGCAAGCTATTCTTCCCATATTCAAAACTCAGCTTTGGAATTTAAAAAGGGCTTTGCTAATTATGCCATACACTGCAATAAAAATTTCTCTGTTAAGCCAATTTTTTCTATATCTTTTCTTACATATACCACTAGAATTAATTAATTCTATGGAACTCATTTTTGTGGAAAATAACAACAAAATGATAACTTACATTTCAATGGAAAGAAAAATGGAGACTTTTTTCTTTTACCTAAATATCGAGATCTAAAATTTTGCTTATTTAAAAACAATTGTTGGTATCTTTTAGACTAAACAACACATAGTGTTAACAGAATACAATTAGTGATCTAACTCTGGTGCTTCATACGATATAAGAAAATCTGGTTTGAACATTTTCTGAGGATGTAAGCCAAGATTTAATGATTTAAGATTTAATGATTATTTACTTTTATTTTTATCTGTTTCCATAGGTGTTTTTGCTGCTATTTACCTAAAAACAACTAAAACAATGGCAAAATATAAAAATGTAGCATACTGTTTCTAGCTCAGTTGAACACCAAATGGGCTGGGGGAATAATTTGACCTATTTCATCAATTATTTTGAGAAGGGCTGCAGAGCAAAATTACTTAGTCCTTGTCTTCATTTCATTTCACTTCACTTAAAAAAAACCTGGACAAAACTAGAAACACATTACACTTTCCACAGATTTCATGGGAACAATGAAGTGACTGCCCATATAACCTTGAACAGTTCACGTAATGTTTTTTGGTCTCTGATTCTTCTGCTAAAAGAAGGGCTGGATGAGATAACTTCTGATGTCTACACCAGATCTAATGATAAGGTCCTACTATTCTAATGAAGGAAATTCACTTTTTCATGGTGAGGGACTACTGGGAAAAGGGCTTATCCTCAGCCCATTTCTGTTATCTGGTCCCTACTGTTTTTTTCTGCTTTTGAACAAAATACCAAAGGGAAAAGCTAGTCTTTGTTAATTCAGATTAAAAATACATTTATCCATTTATTCAAAATATACTGAATTCCAACTGTTTACTTGCTTTATGTGTTTTTTTAAAAAAAGGTATAATTAAGAATTTGGGTATTTTTCTTTTTTGGCAAGAACTATACTTACTCTTGATTTGGTTCCCTACCTCTACTCCTTTATAAAGTGTAAAACTATGGGGAAAGAAAAATTCCTTCTTTCTACTTCAAACTGATTAAAAGGCAACAAAACTTATTAGTATGGAAAGGCACAAAAAGAAGGAAAAACATAGATTTTTTTTTCTTTTGATGTCTCATACCAAAAAAAAAAAAAGGCAACATTTGCACAAATGGTGGGTCTGAGTCAAGGCTAGCATCACATCCCTTCTAGTATTCAGGCT